CCCTGGGGGTGATTTCTACTGTCTCTCTCTAGCAGATACATGTGCCCTGTGACAAAAACCTTAAAAATATTTGTTTCTGGGACTAGCAGTTAGCATAATGGCTATGTCGCTTGGCTCCCACATAGTCGACCGCAGTTCGTGTCCCAGACCTGGTGGCTTAAAACTCACACCAGGCGCATGTGCGTGCATGCCCAAGATCCCGGGAGGATAATGGAGGAGAAGGGATTGCAGCGTGACCATCCCCCCTGGGGGGTGATTTCTCGCTTTCTGTCTCTCTGTCTCTCTGGCGAGTGCATGTGCCCTATAGCAAAAAGCTCTCAAAAAAAAAAAAGAAAAGAAAGAATTTGTGTACTAACATGTGAGAGTGAATTGGAATACCCTCCAGAGTTTATTTATACTGTGATTCCCTTTTTCAAGTCTCCAGTCCATTGCATCTGGGGGCACCCATGCCTGTACTAGCATGTTTCAGTGGACCTGGCCAAGAATTTGAACTGCAAGTGCCGTGTGGGATCCGTTTTCCCTTGGGTAGTGCATTACTGCCACACCAAGAGTTGTTGGCCCCTATTTTCCCTATACTCTTTTTTTTTTTAAGTAACTATTTAATTTTATTTATCATTATTATTATTGTTTGGTTTGTGACAAGGTCCATATGCTTACCAGAGAAAGAGAGAATGAGAATACAAGCTGCCAGGTCCAGGACTTGAACCATGGGCAGCCATGTGGGAGTCCAGTGCCTTAACCACCGTGCCACCTTCTGGCCCCTTCCCTATACTCTTAAGGCAAATTATGTTTTGTTTTTGTTTTTGTTTTTGTCAGCAGTTGTATGCACTCTCTGGAGAGAGATGATTGGGGGGTGGGGTGTACAGGAAATAGAGAATTATCATGCTACTGTACCTTCTTCATTCTTCCTCCTATTGAGATTTTGGGTGCACATGTATGTAACACGTTTCACCAGCCCCTTTAACCTCCACCCCATGGGCTGGCCCAGGAATATCTTTTTTGTTATCAAACTGAATAGTAATATGCATGCCAACTTTTTCTTCACCTCTCAGAAGCTCTTGATCTCTATAGAAGAGATTTGATAGAAAAATGAGTAAGTCATTTTTCTGCTAAATGTGATCTTCTGGGCAGAAGGTAGATTTAGGGTAGTTGCCTCTTAGTATAGAACATTAGAGAAAAATGATAGTTGAGTTCTGTTAGCATTAGAATAGAAGGATTTGAATTTATTTCATTATGTCAGAGACTGCTTAATGTAATGTAATCAGTGACCTTGGCTCCCCTCTTTGCATTCAATAAGGGATATTTAAGTTAAGGACAGAATTGAATAGAGCAAATTATATTGGTGCAGTCCCAAGTTGTAACTGAGGAAATGGCTTAGATAAGATTCTAGATTTTCACTGAAAAGAATTTGAAACCTTGGTAGAAATATGTTATATCCTCTCTAATAAATATGTGGTCATGTCCACTTGGAGACAACTAGGGGACTTGATGTTTTTTATTTTGAAAAAAAAAAATTTTTTTTTGAGAAGTTTTTGCTATAGGTTGTGTGCACTCGCCAGAAAGACAGAGAGACAGAAAGCGAGAAATCACCCCCAGGGGAGATGGCCACACCGCAGTCCCTTCTCCATTCTCCTTTCGAGATCTTAGGCACACACACATATGTACCCTGCTTGAGTTTAAGCACTGGGTTTGGGACTTGAACTACATGGGAGTGCAGCGGCATAGCCATTATGCCAGCTACTGGTCCCTTTGAATTGTTTTTAACTAAAACGAGGGTTCAAGTTATGGACCTGGTGGATTGAAAATCATACCAGGCATGTGTACGTGCATTCCCACGATCCCAGGAGGAGAAGGGATTGTGTTGTAGCTATCTTTCTGCACCCTCCTCCCCTCCTCCTCTTGGTGGAGTGATTTCTCACTGCCTCTCACTGTCTCTCTTTTCCTGGGAAGTGCATGTGCCCTGTGGCAAAAACCTTTAAAAAAAAAAAAAAAAAAGAACAAAGAACAAATCCATTGTATTTGAATGTGGTACCTGCCATTGAGGTAACAGTGACTGTTGGATTTTATAGTTGTCCTTTATGCCCAAGTATCATGTAGTGTGTCTTTGGGATTGTGAAAGGTTTTGTTTTTCTTTTTTGATAAGGAATTATTTAGATTATGTGTGTGTGTGTGTGTGTGTGTATAAAATGACCAAAGAGAGACAGAGTGAGGGGACGGGAGTTAGAAAACTAGCCACCATATTCGGGACTCTAACCACAGTCGGCAGTGTGGGAGTCCAGAGCCCTTAACCACCATGCCACTTGCAGACCCCTTGTGAAAGTTCTTTATCCCTAAAAATGGGCTTCTAGGGGCCAACAGGTGGGGTGGTGGTTAAGGGCGCTGGACTCCGACATGGGAGACCACAGTTTGAGTCCTAGACCTGGCGGCTTGCTTTCTTTCTCTCTCTCACTCTGTCCCTCTCTGATTCCCTCTCTGATTAAATTTAAATTTAAATAAATAAATAATTTTTAAAAAATTGTCTTCTGAAAACTGAGCTTTGGGACCAGCATATGATGTAATGGTTACATCGCTGGACTCCCATGTAATCAATCCCAGTTCAGGTCCAGAACCCAGAGACTTGAAACTACTGTCAGGCATGTGTCCATGCATGCTCAAAATTCCAAGAAGAAATAGAGAAGGGATTATGGAGTAGCCATCCCCTATGGGGAGTGATTTCTGGCTTTCTATCTCTGTCTCTCCCGCAAGCGCACTTGCCTTTCTACCAAATAATATCGTTTGAAAAATGAATAAAAATAGAGCTTTCTGAGTTATGAAGAATTGTTTTGTTTTCTTTTTGTTTTAGTTTTTCTGTTTTTTTATTTTTATTTGTTTGGTTTTTTTCTTTTAAGATACATTTGCACACAAGAGAGAGAGAAAGTGAGAAATCACCCCCAGGGGGAGATGGCAAGGCCACAATCAATCCCTTCTCTTTCATTCTCTTCTCAGGATTTTAGGCGCAGACACACATGCTTCTACCATGGTTTTCGTATCACTGAGCCAGCATGATTTTCTTTTCTTTTTTTTTTTTTTTTTTTTAAAGAGAGATTTTTGCTACAGGGCGCGTGCACTCGCCAGAGAGACAGAAAGCAAGAAATCACCCCCCAGGGGGGATGGTCACTCCGCAATCCCTTCTCCTCCATTCTCCTCTCGGGATCTTGGGCACGCACGCACGCACACGCACATGCGCCTGGCGTGAGTTTTAAGCCACCGGGTCCGGGACGTGAACTGCGGTCGACTATGTGGGAGTCCAGCGACATAGCCATTACATTACGCTAACTGCTGGTTCCCGCCAGCATGATTTTCAAACCACTGGCTGTGGTGCTCAAACTACAGAGTTGACCATGTGAGATCCAGCGCCTTAACCTCCATACCACCTACTGGTGCTATTTTTTGTTTTTATTTTTAGCTGCCAGAGGGTATGTGCTCTGATGTGGGTGGTAGTGCAAAATGGGCAGCACCTTCTAGTGGGTTGTGATTATACTGTAGTTCCTTCTCCATTTCTCTATCCTGGGAATATTGGGCACATAGGCACAGGTGCACTCAGATGTTTTTCAAGCCTCTGGAACTAGATTTGAACCATGGAGGGCATGTAGGATCCAGCTCCCTTAACTGCTGGGCTTTGGGGCTCCCCTGAAAAGAGATCTTGACCTAGGATTTTTGAGTAATTTAATTTTAATTGTTAGCCAGGAGCATTGGACAAGTCACTTCACCTATCTCTGGATCAACTTCCTTGGGAGTTCAGGCATAGAACAATTATATCAATATGCTTTTCTTACATTGCTGGATTTCTATAAAAATTTTAACAAAGGCACTTATATCCTTAATTGGGAGACCAAGATGCCATCTACATTAATTTTTCTGCTGTGTTTTGTTCTGTTTTGTTTTAATTTTAAAACTACCGAAAGTATTTTAAGGTTTTTGCCTTAGATGGTTGTGCTTGTGCTTGTTTGGAGGGGAGAGAGACAGTGAGAGGGAAAGTGAGAAGTCACCCCCCCCAGGGACATGGCCACGCTGCAATTCTTTCTGCTCCGTTCTTCTGAGATTTTGGGCACACACTTCACATGCACTTGGCGTGATTTTCAAACCACTGGGTCTGGGACTCAAACCACAGTCAGCCACATGGCAATCCAATGATGTAATCAGGCCATCTGATGGTCCCAGAATCTGAAATCCATTTAAGGTTCTTCAGTTGTTTTGCTGATAACCGTTAATAAAAATTTAAGGGGCCAGTAGGTGATATGATGGCTAAAATGCTGGGCTCCTGCTCAGGAAACTGGTTCAAGCCCTGCATCTGGTAGCTTGCTTTCTCTGTTTCGCTTTCTCTCTGTCTATAGCTGTCT